TTCACTGAAAAACAAGCCGTCATGCTCAACGCTAAAAAACTTAAGGGAACAACTGTCTTCATTCAAAATGATTATTCGCAAGAAACACTAAGAAAAAGACGATCGCTTTGGCAGAGTGCCAAATCTGAAAAAGACAAGGGGAAGAAGGTTACGCTAGTGCACGACAAACTTTACATTAACAAAAAGTTGTACGCATGGAACGATTCCACAAATCGGCGCGTTCCTGTCCAGACAAATGAATTGCCGGCACCAGCAAACATATAGCCACTCCGGCGCCCTGTTCATGAGCTGATTGTCATTTCGTTTAATGCAAGAAGTATTGTAAATAAAATTGACAGTTTAGAACTGCTTCTTTTGAATTATGACCCCCATCTAGTTGTAATCACCGAAATCTGGCTGAGTGATAGGATTAGTGACGGCGAAGTTGTTCCACGGGGCTATCAGATATTTCGGTGTGATCATGGCTCCCGTGGTGGGGGCGTTGCCATTATAGCTAAAACCAATATCGAGATCTCGGTTTTGTTTGGGATCTCTAATCATGAAAGCTTGTTTTTAAACGTATCTTTTTGTGACCTAAAATTCTTGCTTTGTGCTGCTTATCGATCGCCTGATGCAACCGACTCGTTTCTTTGCAAATTGTACGATTATCTTTTGCCCTATCGTGGTCGCCCTGTTATTGTAACAGGCGATTTTAATCTGCCGAGTTTTGACTGGAATCGACCTACTTATGGAGAGAGTGACCCATGTGATACTCTCTTAGACATGATGTTGTCTATAAGTTTAAAACAGTTAGTTTTGGAACCTACCCGTTTTGACGCCATTCTAGATTTATTTTTTGTTAGTGACGTATTTTCTAGTGGTGTAGTAAATGTAGATCCTGGTATTTCCGACCACCGGCTTTTATCGTTTTATTGTTCTTCTACCGGGTTTGGCAGTGTTGAAGACCAACTGGTCAACCATGTCAAAAATTTTGACCGTGCCGATGACGCTTCTATCATTGATTACTTAGAGTTAAAATTTAATATCCAAACTAGGAATGATGTTCACACGTTGTGGACGCACTTCAAGGAAACAATAAAATACTGCATCGAGCATTTTGTACCCTTAAGGAAGGTTAGAAATAAGCGTTACAATGAATGGATTACCCGAGACATCATTCAGACCAAGCGTAAGATTAAACGTCTTAGGAGAAAGAAGAGTCTAGGGGAGCAACATTTACAAAGCCTGAGGCAGTCTTTGGAATGTAAGGTTAAATCAGCGAAAGCTCATTATTTTACCGTAACACTTCCTGAGTTCATTAAAAATGACCCCTCTAAGTTTTGGCGGTTTTTGGGTGAACGGAAAAATATTCTGAAATAGCTGTAAATGATAAAATTGTAAGAGACGACAAAGAAATAGCTCGATCATTCAATCATTACTTTCAATCAGTCTTTTCACCAGGCGGATCAGTTCCTAAACGCCCAACAGATTATTCAAATATACCTGTTATTTCGGATCTCGGAATACTGGCATTATTACGAAAGCTTGATCCTAGAAAAAGTCCCGGCCCCGATGATCTTCCTAATGCATTCTTGAAACGGTATGCTGATCAGCTATCTGCCTTTTTAACTAACATTTTCCAGATTTCTCTCACATCAGGTGAAGTCCCGTATGATTTTTTGGTTGCTAGGGTCAAACCACTGTTTAAAACGGGAGACAAACTTTCAATTTCTAACTACAGACCCATTTCCATCACAAGTAGCTGTTGTAAAATGTTGGAGCATGTTATTGTAGGGTTCATTCATGAATTTTTGGCTGAAAGGAACATTTTGTCGCCCTATCAACACGGTTTTAGAAAAAATATGTCCACTGTTACGCAATTGGTCACTACTGTTCATCACTTCTCTGCGGTATTGAACGAGTCTGGACAGGTTGATGTGGTTTTCCTCGACATTAGCAAGGCCTTTGACAAAGTGCCACACGAAAAGCTTTTGTATAAACTTGAACACATTGCCCTTCCTGATTGCCTTTTGAACTGGATAAGAGCTTATTTAAATAACAGAAAACAGTATGTTGATAATAATGGTTGTTTCTCTAATTTTCTTGCTGTTACCTCTGGGGTACCCCAGGGCAGCGTGCTGGGACCGTTGTTGTTTCTTCTTTATATAAATGATTTAGCCCACGTAGTTCCCGAAACTGTCTCCATCAGGCTGTTTGCCGATTATTGTGTTGTTTTTAGAGAAATTCGCTCACCTGATGACTGTGAAGTTTTGCAGGAATCCCTGGTTGCAATAGAGAGTTGGTGTGAGCAGTGGGGAATGATGTTGAATGCTGGAAAATGTGCATTTCTACGAATAACGCGCAAAAAACATTTCTTCAACTCCCAGTACTTCTTGCAGAACACCTGTATTGCAGATGTTGGGGAGTACAAGTATTTGGGCCTCACTTTGAACTCTAATTTATCTTGGTCATCCCAAGTAAAACGTATTTGTTCTGCTGCATTTACTAAGTTGTGTTTTTTGAGACGAAAATTAAGGCATTCTCCAAGTCACGTTAAGCTTTTAGCCTATGAAACTTTTGTTAGAGCTAAACTCGAATATGCTTCCGTGATATGGGATCCGCACGTGAAAAAAGATATCTACATGCTTGAGCTCGTTCAGAGAAAAGCGGTGCGTTTCATTTTTAACAATTATGGGCGTTACGATTCTCCGTCGAAGCTCATGACTGACAATGGCATTCAAACCCTAGCAGTTCGTAGACGCTTGGCCCGTTTACTCTTCCTTAACAATATTGCTACTTCTAAGGTGAAAATAACTCCGTCAACTATGATTAAACCGCTAAGCACAAGAAGGACCCGTCACATGCATGCACATTCCTTTCAGCCTATCTTCGCCAAAACTAATCAGTTTAAGCACAGCTTCTTCCCACGTACAATTTCCGAATAGAATGCGCTCCCGGAAGCAGTGATACAAGCTAAAAATTTTTCCCAAGCGCTCCAGGAAAGCATCTGTGGCTAAGTATATGCATTGTATGGTGTGCTATGCCTTGACCAATCGGTCTTGTACTCCTTTTTATTGTTATTATTTTTATTCTTTGTATGCATGTGTAATAGTGTTATGTGTATTGCCAATTGCCCCTCCTGCTTGGGCCACAAACTGGCCTGCAGTATTCGCAATAAATAAAATAATAAGTCTAGCTTTACTATTCGAAAACCTTAAGGGTGTTAAATGAGTTATAGTAGAGCTCAGTGGGTTTAGGAGGACAAATGAGGCCTATGTGGTCCTACAGAAAGGGCACGTCCTTGGCTATTGGGGTTCGGCTGACAGAAGGGGACTGGGAGTGGGGCTCGCTATGCACAAAACATAGCTGGCAACATAGAGGAATACTATGACAGTAATGGAAGGGTGGTAGGTATCGTAATTAAACTGAATAAAAGATACAAGATGAAGGTGGTACAGGCATACACGCTTACATCCAGCCATGATGACACTTCAGTTGAAAGCTTCTATGAAGACGTGAAATCGGCAAAGGGTAAAGTAAAAACACAATATACTCTACTAATGGGAGACTTTAGTGCAAAGGTATGGAAGAAGCAGGCTGGAGACCAGGCAGTGGGAGATTATGGCTTTGGTACTAGGAATGCCAGAGGAGAGCTACTAGTAGAATTCGCAGAATGCAATGATTTACAGATTTCGAATTCCTTCTACTGAAAACGAGGAAACCGTAAGTGGACATGGAGGATCCCTAATGGCGAAAATAAGCATGAAATAGACTCTATAATTAGTCCACACACACGTATAGTCCAGGATGTGGAAGTGCTTGGCCAGGTACGATAAAGTGACCATAGAATGGTATGGTCTCCAATTCGCCTAGACTTGAAGAAGGAAACAACAGAAACTGATACACAAGAAACCAATCAATGAGCTAGCACCGAGGGGAAAAGTAGAGTAATTGAGAGTCTCACTTCAGGGTCTCAATTCAGAGCCTCACTACACCCTATTAGAAAGGTGTGTGTTGCATAAAAATGTTGTTACGCCGTTCTTTAGGGTGTTAGTTGAAGATCTGAAGGTATACTCCTATCGTTGCAACAACAATTGTGTTTAATGTCCCAAAGTCATCATATAATTATGAAAGACACTGTAATGAAGGACTCCGGAAAATAAAACCACCTGGGTTATTTAATATGCACCTAAGTCGGACTACACAGGTCTGAAACAATTTGCCTCCACCGAAAATGTGGTCGCCGTGAACTGCCGGAATTCGATCCTGCAACTTGCGGGTCAACAGTTGACTACCATAAGCACCAGACCTCCGAAGTGGGTGGTGCACGTGCAAGAATCGAGCTGCATTCATGCTTGCAAATGAAAACTAGTGCATAACACAACGTGCCTGTTGTACTGCCTTTTATCGGGTTACAATGTCATAGGGACCACAAAATCAAATAAATGGTCAAGTCATTGGCACATTTCACAGGACACCCTAAGAATAACTGAGAAGCTGTAAAAGAGAATAACATGCTTTCGCACTGTATGATTCGACATTGCTCTACCTCTTTATATGGTCCACATAAATTGTCAATAAATAGTTGGGCTACTGTCACAATCAAATCAAAGCACATACTCGTGTGTAGAAGAAATTGAGCGAAAACTTTTGAATTTATTACAAAAACACTTGCTGGGTCGAAAGCCATTCGAGCGCAAGTCAATTTCACTAAGTTCTCGAAGACGAGACGTGCTTGGTTGAAACTAAAAAAAAATGCGCTACCTTCTGCAACCATGCGGGAGAGCACGGGAAAGTGATTCTTTAGGGCAAGAAATAAAGTTCAGAGGATGGCACGGTCAGCGCACGCAGTGTCTTTGCGAAGTGAAGGAGAGGGGAGAAGGGCATGAGAGGAGGGAGAGACAAACGGCTCCCGCCCCCCACACACATATAGAACCACATACACACACACAATATATATTTATATATATATATATATATATATATACATACATACATACATGCATATTTAGACAGTGTACTGTCATATGAAAGCTTTATTCTTTATTATTCATGAAAGAATGCTGCTCGCGAGCGGTTATAAAATGCGAAGTCAGTCAAGGCTAGGCTTCTTTAGTATTCCCCCCAATGTCACTGAAATCACGACAAAGACAATTTCGTGTTACTTGTGGGGCCACACTGCGTTATCTCTAATCCTTAGGCACTGTAACCGTTTTTTAGGTCTTTTTGATAGGTAATGTCCCGTTGCACTGCTGCAGGACTACCTCAAAAAATGGTTTGAACTACGAAAAAAAAACAACTTGCTTCTTTATTACAATAAACATGGGCGTTGCTTTTGAGTGGTGCCACATAATGACGTCATTAAGAGTCCCGCAGATGAAGAAGTGTGACATGATTTAGTGACAGCGAATGTTAGCGCTATTATTTTTGTTTCTCGTTACCCATGTTGTACCATGTGTGCAAGAAAATAATAGGTTGTAGAATAAATTCATGCGGAATCTACCCTCGATAACGCGCATTGTATATCACAGCATATGGCAGGTACGATTGCACATTTCCACAATGGTGCAGCACGTCTATATTGTGGAAACATACCACGGGCTGATGACACTAAGTTAAGAAAGTATGTAAATTCAAAACAGTATTAAACAGAAAGTGTAGCTTAAAATCAATGCTGAACTTCTACATTAGAAAGATGCGAAGCTTGTGTGAGAGACAACTTTTGATGAGGTGAAGTTGATATGCATTACATGTGGTTCCATCGAGACAGAGAACTCAACTCGACAGAGACATGTTTCATCATGAAGGCGCTAAGCAACGTCTGTGGTATTCGCAACACGCGTGGACGTCACGGTTGGCACTTTCGCCTCGGGTTGTCGTCTTTGTAGCCTGACGACCACTCCTCGCTCGGGATTGATGATGACACTTGGCACGATTAGCTTGAGTGGTTCCTGCGTTTCCTCGCAGCGCAGCAGGCGGTACTCTCTCAGAACCCGACAGACGGCCATCTTGAGTTCAAGGAGGGCGAACCGCTTGCCGATGCACACCCGTGGACCTAAGCCGAAGGGCAGGAAGGATGCTGGATCCTTGGAAAGGCCTCCGTTCCCTTCGGGGTCAAACCGCTCTGGGCGGAACTCGAATGGTTCCGGCCATAGGGTTGGGTCATGGTGGAGGTGCCATGTGGGGATCATGATGTTCACTCCCGCCGGAAAGAAGTGACCCTGCGCGTAAAACAGTCCACGTTAGATGAAAAGAGCGGCAAGAAAACTTAAATGGACATTTTTACGGAATGAAAACCCAGCAACTCAAAATCGTCACTAAAGCTTCCCTCCTACTAAAAACAGCATACTGACAAACATGACGGATGACATCGGCATGCTGAAAAGTTCAAGTATGTCGCTGTAAAAGCAACAGATTAGGAACTTTTTACAGCATTCGTTAGCTACATAAAGTGGCAATTAGAGCTTGCATATATATGATGCACCAACCTGTGCAGTGTTGATCATACCAGGGGGCATTCGTAAGTTTTAATTATCACGGACAAGCAGCTAGCTCTCTGTGTGGGATGGCATTCTAATCAAAAACACCCAGATAGTCATCCCGTTAAGACTTCGGTCAGTGGTTTCGAAGCTGTTACATGAAGGTTGTCAGGGCATTATCAGAACCAAAATCATTGCTCCGAAGTCAGGTGGCACAATATCTGAGCAGTCATTGCATCTCCTGTCACCAACTGCGAACAGTGCACCCCTCCACCCGCGTAAATTTTGCAGAGCCCCTAATCACATTTGCCCTGCAAGGATATTCCTCTCAATTCTTCTAATGAACTAAATCCATCTCAAAGACGACACCTTCATCCTTGTATGCATTACTACTCTAGGTTCCCTTAAGTGGTGACCATGTGGAGCACGAGAACTCAGGTGCTCATCGGTGCTCTCGAAAGCATCTTTTCCCGACATGAAATGGCGCAAAAGGTGTGGTCAGGCTACGACCCAGCACTCATGTTGCAAGTGTTGACGGTGTTTGCTGCATCTCATGGTTTCAAACATGCGACCAATAATCAGTCCACAGTACGCCCAATTCAACGAACAGAGACAGAGGACGCTATGTACACTCAAGCACTTATTCCGCAGTACAAATGATGTTCATCTGCTCAGCTACCGGGATACCCTAGGAGTTGACAAGTTCAGTCCATTCCAGCTGTTGATGAGATGCCAACTCGGAAGTACAGCACTGCGTCCTAACTGTGCGCCTAGGAAAGAGTTTGCAGTCAGTGGCTTAGCAGACAGACAACAATATACATCACGGAGCTTCAGACCTGCCGCAACTCAGCATGTCAGGATGTGACCTAACTACGATCCTCAATATGGGGCAAAGACCGAGATTCCATGTTTTCGAAACAGAGCGGAGCTTGCTAGCGTTCTACAGAGCAGGCGGCGTCAGTTAGCGCATTTTGCACTTACTCCAGCCGGAAAGGAACCACAGCAATCAGCATCCGTACAGTAAGCATCACCGCAGCACATTCCCCTTCACACTCCTCAGCCTGGAAATTTGGTGGAATCAATGGTACCACTCAGGCTGTAAGTGCAAGAATCTCCTGCAGGTCGAGACTTGAATTATGGTGTAATAAGAACGTGTTACGGCCAGTGCATTGTTCCGCTGCATCGTTTCAACTTGGGAAATTTTATTTAATTCACTTCCTTTATCCTCCCGTATGACATTTGAAGCTTCAAAGAGAAAGATTTATAGGTCACCACAATTGAACCCTTTTGTGAGGCTGTCAACAGAGAGTGGTGCCTTCTGTAACTTATGTACGTCTACGCCTCTGTAGGTACGAGTCCAATAAAGAGCATTTACACCTCAGTACGAGCAAGCAGTTTGTACGTGTTGGTCCCTGCGTGTCCATGCCCCAGCGGCCCTAGGTAGATGAAACAGAGGAAGGTCCACTTTAGAAAAGCTTCTTTATCGATAGACGCCTGCAGGACCTAATTGTAACCACTTCTGATGCAAACGTGGAATCAGGGAAGCTTGCTGGCCAATGGAAACAGGCGTTTACAAAGAAATTATTTGTGGATGCAGCCGCTCATACATAAGCTCGTGCATTAACGCACTATTCATGCTTGTTAGTAGCTCATTTTAGTCCTTCAGTCGATCGGTCATTGGAAACCTATTAGGTTGCAACTAGCTTACAGTAGGCGCCTATCATTAAAAAAAGAACGGAATGAAAATCAAATCGAACTAACATACATAGACGCTTTCATAATTTGCCTCAATATAAACTATGACTTCCATGGTAGGTCGAAGTTATGCGCAGCATTAACCTCAAGGAGAATCGCGTTTCATATTTTTTTTTGCAGTAAATTCTATCAGTTTTCCTCCAGAAATATTCTAACATTTGGCCAGATTAAGACTTGTTTTTAGAAGAATGTGGCGTGGTGTGTATAGAGTTGAGAAATTATCAGCAGGCTAAGACGTAATTCTGTCATGTTAATAATTGAAACAGCAATTCTGTAGCCGCGCAACTTCACAGCCGAGAGAGTGTGTAGAGATTCCGAAATCCTACCTACTGTTTCACCTTCGCATATGATTTTCAATGTACGCTTTTGGATTATTTAAAGAGTTTTTAGATAACTCTTCTACGTAACACCCCACAATTCCAAGCAGTAACTCCTATCACAGTGGCACAATGCCACTGTCATTGGCATTGCAGAATGCCGAGCATAGCTGAATGTACGAACTATAGTTTAATTTTTGTGGAAATAATTGGCGAGCTTTTATTAGGGTATAAGAGCCACAGGCTACGTTCGCGCACACACTCAATACTTGCCCATGCCACTGTGTGTTATCATAAAAGTTACACCAAAATATTTGAAAGAAGGAATCGATTGAATAGAAGCGTTGTTTATTGTTAGTTTAAAAATTTAGTATAAATGTGTTCCTTGCGACAGTGAAACACTATGTATTTTGTTCTAGTACAGTTAACAGTGAGCTAATTCATGGCCAAATATTATGGAAGGTTGGACTAATCGCTCATCACGTCATTTTGTATAGCTCCAATAAGAGTCCTTCAAAAACTAAACAGTGTCATTGGCATACATCAATGGCTTTTTCCTCTGTAGTGATTGTGGGATATCAATATTACAGAGAGATAACAATATAGGAACTAATACTGAACCCTGCGGTACCCCGCATTTATAATACTGTAAGATTATTTGATGTTACCAATGGCTACCTTTTGTTTGTGTACCAATAAATACCTGCAAACGAAACCAAGTGATTCAACTACAAATTCATTAGAATGCACTTTTTCTTATAAAATTCAGTACACCAATAGCATAAAATGCCTTTCTTAGGTCAAAAAGTACTGATATTACTATGTTGTTTTCATTTATCACGGAAATAATATATTGCGTGAGCGTCTATACAGCAGTTGAAGTGGGCCTGGTAGCAACAAAACCATGCTGCTGTGGAGAAAATACATCCGTATTACATAAAAACAGCCTAATGGCGACGAAATTTCTATTTTAAGCGTAGTGTTAGGAATAATCAGGAACGATATTGATCTGTAGCTCTCCGGGAGATTACGATCACCGGATTTGTTAACTGGTATTACCTTGGAAGTTTTAGGTATGTTAGAATAAGTTTTAGAAGAAAATGCATGATTAAGTATGTATCCCAACGGGCCTTACAAAACATCAATATGTCCCTTTAGAATCCTTGATGATCTGACGTTACGGCCAACTGCCTTGTTCCCTGGTAACTTCTCAATAACTTATCGAATGTCATTCACCGTCATGTCTCACAGGTAGAAATTACTAGCAACCGTTAATGGTGCATTTAGGTTGAGCATATGAGTAGAAAAATTACTCGCTAGGCTGAGACCAATATCAGTGAAGTAATCAATAAAGGTGTCAGCCACTTTGCATGTCGAATCATTCTGTGTAATTTGTTCTTTGCTACCCATGATAGCAAGATCTTTAACAATTTGCCATATCGTTTTCGTGTTACGTTCATTTGTGTCACTCACTTGGTGTGGTAAAGATATTTGGATTTTTTTATCATTGCTACTGACTTGTTTCTCTACAACTTCAAATGATGACGATAGTAATGATTGTTCCTTTTACTTGTTTATATAATGTAGTAACAATATTTCAGCTTCACAACCTGTAGTATATTTCTATTCATCCACTGACATATGGAATGCTCATAATTTACATGCAAACAGCTGCGCGTGGATTGTTTGATGGCGTCCACAATGCACTGAACAATGTTATCACATTCGACGTCCACCTCCAGATCATAGAGGCTATACAAATTTGTAGCTTCAAGTAGTCCTTCCACTGATTTATAGTCTACACATGTTCTCCGTTTGATGCTAGGTACGCCAGAAACACAAATGTGTTTTTGGTGTAAGAAGCGAAAAGTACGATTGTGATCCGCAGTAGCAACAGCGTATACCCCTGCATACATCAAGGTCAGCGTTGCGCAACAACTCATCAATAATCGACTTCGTAAGGTCTCTAATGCGAGTGGGCGATGAAATAACGTTTTTTTTTTTCAGATTAAGTGATCGTAGAAAAACATGTATTTTTATAACGTGTCTTGAGAAACTTCTACGTTGATACCGCCGCAAACAAGTAGAGGTGCTCTACATGCCACAATGAAGATCACGGTACTTTTCATCACAATTATGAAGTCGACTATGAAAAAATTGGTGGACGATATACTACACCTATTTTAACACCTTTTAAAATACGAATAAAAAAGTCTTAACAATTCAACAACATGATGAGCTATTGTTAAGGCAAACAAAACCAAAACATTTTTTGATAATGCCATGCCCCTCCTCATGTATCATTGTTTCCAGGTTGCGAAAGAATGACATGGCTAGGTATAAGAACCGATTCTTGATTTTTTTTTAAATCCGATTTTTCTTGAATCCTTGTGTCAGTTATAACAATGATACCACGTTTTAGAGTAATCTAAAAAAAGTGAAACAAAATGTTCAAAGTTTTTCTTTATGCTGCGAACGTTACACTGTAATACTGCGAAATGAGCCTGCTGAAGGGGGTGTGCTCTCAATGTCAAAAAATCGCTGCCCCTTTTCCCCGAAGGGAGTCGTGAGGAAAGGCGAATGCATTTTTTTGCGCCTAGACTACACCCGTAGTAATTTTAGTGGCGTAAATTAACGACGAGACAAAGATTTGTACCATAACCATTTATT